AAAGCGCAGAGCGTCATGATCTAGATGCACTCATCTATCTAACGTATTGCGCATGGTCTGCTCCTCTTTCCCTCGCTCTCCCTCTTTTGAAAACATCTGAAGTCATACTAGCGCTTTATTGCCTCCATTATAAAGTATCAAAGTATTATTGTTAGAAGAAGGAATCACTCGGTCTGAGAGTTCTCAAATCACGCATATAAATCTTTGAAACTTCCCACTGGTATTCATTCACTTTTGATATCGTTATATCGTATTCTCAATTTATTCTAGGATGATAAGAAGTCTTTCACACGATATTGGTGACCCTATTTCCGTCGTTTGACTGCAGTAATCACTGAGACGAGTTACATTTGTAATAGACATATTTTTGTATTATTTTGGCGCATGTTTCTTTAGTGAGTCCGCTAACGACGATATGTTCTGAGCTATTCATTGAATAAAGTTTCCAAACGGTGAGTGTGATGTCTCAGAAGTTTCGCATGAGTCGAGAACGCCAACAGAGATGCCTCTGCCTTGGTTTGGTGCATTCCACAAATTCTCCAGTGAATCATCAAGCCAGTACTATTCCAGTTCCGTTAGTGGTACTGTTGACACTTCAAACGATCATTGTCCACTGGTAGTCACTGTCCCAAAAACAGCACTGAGCAAATGCACTGAAAACGTCTGGGTCAATTCTGGTGGTGGGGAGGGATGTCAGATTAGTTATGAGAGGACGGGATAGGAGCGTTGATCAGCTCTCTTGTGAAGCCCCGGTCCTACAAGTTGCATCATGCAGATATGCGTAAATACATAACTAAATGCGCAACTGATTCGCAATGACCCCAGGGGATGAAATTGAGGCGCGGAAGGCTCCTTTAGTCAGTTTAGGTCCAAATCAGTGGCTTCTATAAAACCATACAGATGTAGGGACTAATTTCAATGCCATTGCCTTCATAATATTATTGCAGATCTCCAAGGCTGAAGGACTGCGAGATCGGAACTTTCGAAAAAGTGCTGAAATTTTCTCGAAGGATTACTCTTTGCAAATATATTCCCATTAATTTTTTTTCTCCCCTATGGTGGTTTTTTGCCATGCTCCTTAACTGCGAGTTTTTAACCTTCATGCACTCGTGATTTCTTCAGAACTATTTCTATAGACATGGTAGAAACCACTGAAAACTACGCTACATGATCAGACCATTGTAACCTAACTTCTCCAGAAAAACTTTCTTCTGCGAGAGCATAGCGAATGCTGTGATTTTAGCAGCGCTTGCATAAAGGTCGGTCTGCAGCTGAACCTAACGAAGACGATGTTTATGAGAAACGGATTGGTTCCTGATGCCCCATTCACGCTCAACGGAACGAACATCACCGAATGCTCCAGCTACGTGTACCTAGGTCGGGAAATCAATATGATGAACGACCTAGCTCCAGAGTTGAGCAAAAGAAACAAAGTGGCACGGGATAATGAAAAAGGCAAACGTCCGACTCCACGAACAGCCCTTTGTGCAATCCTCCAGGTCGAACGCCTCAGAGATTTGAACTCTGCGTAGGTAGCATGCAGTCAGCGTCATTAAGCGCGCTGTAAAAAGGACGGTGGTGAGGGTTCCCATAGTGCAGAGGGGAATCCGGAGTTCCGAACTACGCCAACGATCGAAGATCAGGGACGCTGCCGTTTTCGCCAAGGAATCGAAGATAAGGTGGGCCGGACACGTCATGCGATTTTGCGATGACCGTTCGGAGCAGACCGGTTGCCCATTGGTTCTTCCAGGACGTCCGCCGGTGCAGTGGTCACACTTCTTCGCAGAGTTTCGAATTCTTCTTCTTCTTTTTCTCCCTAGCGTTAGTCCCGCGTAGTCGCTCTACCTCCTTGCACCCTTTCCAGGCCCCTTCTGTCTTTGCCGACGACACCATTAAGGTTACTTGCTATGGTGAGGTAATCGCCTTTCATTTTATGGGCTCGTTCAGGCTTACCAGGAATGGTCATTTGGTCAACCCGGCCATTTGAAATGAGATGTATATGTGTATACGCGCCTTGGGACGCTGAGCTCAAATATGTGTTCCTTATCTGCTGAACTCTTCTCTGAAAGGAATTATGAAGCAGAAAAGCGCAGGGGCTGTGGTCGAGGCTCACGAAAAAGAGGTCAGGGGATCGACTCCCTGGCGAGTTTGTTCTTTTGCCGTTTGCAGTAAGATAGCTAGGAAGACTCCTAACATCGCTAGTCCAACATGCTTGCGTATAGTTAACAGTACAAAGAATTTAAGGGCAATTAATAACGAACTTGGGCGGCATCGCTCCTCACTACTTTGGGCGCTTGTAGCGCAGGCGCCAGGCATTTTTGCTTCGAACAAGTATGATATTCGTAATCAGGGAGCCAGACTCTCCCTTTGAGCAAACTTCTAGCGAATTCTGAAATTTTGACCTAACCTCGAAAATTTGGGCAGTCACCGATCCACCAATCCATTACAAAAGGCTGGCACTTGGGTAGAATAAACCTTTTAAACACTTTTCATAATAGACAAAAATTGTGTCTGGCTTGCCCGTCTGCATCATCCAAAGAGCATTATTTCCTAATACAACACCTTCTCTCCCCTTTCCCCCGTCGTCCATGATTGGTCAACCCAAAAAAGTGGAGTTTGAGGAGTGGTAATCCCATCACTGCTCCGCTTTTTCTCAATTAGTTCATGACCTCAGGTTTGGAAAAACTCGTTTTTAGGGGTAGTTTGATCCCCTGAATACGAATATCGTACCTACTTGCCACGGAAAAGCATAGCACCTGCACTACGGGCACCATGGGCACTCACAGACAAGTAGTGCTTAAACTTAAGAGGATCTGCTTGCAAACTCTTCGTAGATGTAGCGTCGGGCGACCGTTGATAAAATAACGGATTCAAAAAGGCTTTTCAGCCATGTTGGAAAAAAAGCAAAACACCAAACCCGAAACCGAACCCACGCCCAATGATTTGAGAAGCAAGACCGCTACCAACTGCGCTACCGAAGCTCAACCCACAATGCCTCGGTTCTCCTTTCGATACTTTATAATGCAGCTAACATGTGATTGCAGGCAAGACACTGAAAATCAAGGGCGGCAACAAAAACCCTCCGTAACTCCTTTCAGAGAAGAGTTCAGCAGATATGAAAGCAGATTTGAGTTCAGCGTCTCATGACGCGTACAGAAATGTACACCTCATT